ACGGAAATTTCAGTCTGTTCTAGGCAGCATGCTCATAGCAGGTTTTTTCACCTTTAACACCGTTACGAGGAGTGCTGGTGCACACGCGATGTCTGCTACTACTTGTGCAAAGGATGCACCAGAATTCAGGCATAGTGGTCCATCGGAGTTGTCGAGTCTACATACCATATCAATACATATATATGTATATACTTATAACATCATGTTTACACATATATATATATATATGTACACATACATGCATATACACTGTATGTATGCGTACAAACACCGATGTGCATACGCAGTTTTTAGGTTGGACGTTGTTTCACGGTGTCGGTTTGAAGTTTAAGCCTTCTCCGATGGCCTCCAGCTGCGAACTGCTTGGGAGGGGCTTGTCTAGCTGCTCCAATGGCGAGCACCAGCTAGCCTCCATGTCCACTCGACCTATAGTCTCCATTGTAGTTCCTTTTTTTGGTTTACCAAAATCTCTATTATAGGGTCCTAACCATAAAACTGGTTAACCAAAAAAAGGAGCTACAATGGAGACCACAGGTAAGGGTGATCTTGTTCAGTTTCATAAGCCGTGTGACGACTGCTTTGCATCTCCAGGGTTCGTAATGGTAGCTACGACGCACTTGAATTCCGTGCCCTGCGGCCCCAAAAGCAATAATCTCTGGGGCGGAAGAATCTGTATAGGATGCTGCATCCTTAGACAGTCGAGCGTTCCTCAGAGTACTGGTACAATCGTGAATATTCGTCGTTTGTTAGTCGTGTTTGTGGCGGTAGTGGTGTGTGGTGCTCGGTTACTTCAGCGCCAGCAGCTGCCAGCAGGCAGTGACGACGACGAGCTTTGGAACTACGTATGGAGGTTGGTGGAAGGCGGCACGCAGGACCGGGCAAAGAAAATCCTAAGCCTTTAGAAGTCTTCTACAACGAATCGAAGTGAATGGTGTGTGTGTGTGTGTTGCCTGAGTAGAGCTCAACCCGCTGCGGCGCAAGGCCAATGAAACTGTTCAACCGAAATCCATGATGCAACAGAAAGCACATCCCACAACACCTGGCGTGCAAACGTTGAGCCGTAGGTCATATAAGTCTCATCTACAGACCAATACAGAGGGCAAGACTTAAAACCTGAAACATGCAAACATGGCAAAGTGCTGTGCTCCGAGCTGCGAGGATCAAATCCATGAGGAGCCAGCTACGAAGCGCAGGACCGTTCCACATCTCAGCTTGTGTCTATATCCCTCTCAGGCCCCTTCGGACCTTGTCCCCCGAAAAGCCACATCGTAATTTCCAACATATTGGCCACCTTTGGCCATGCTGCTGAATCTCGCCAGTATGTCAGGGAAGCATTTCTGCAGCAGTCCTGAATCTCGCCAGTAGATCCGGGGAAGCATGATAGATGGGTCTCTGAATGCCCAGTAGTTTGGGGAAAGCGTTTCCTGAACCGGGAAGCCCTTGTGGTAGGCTTGTGACCCCCGCCAGCAAATGAGGGAAGCATCGGTGGTTTCCTGGTGATACCGGTCTGCTGGTGGTCCTCCTGGTGTCCTGGTCGTCGTAGCGGTTGTTGTGGTGGTGGGGGGCCGTGTTCCTCGTTGTGGTGCTCTGTCACTGTTTGGCATAATCTGTTTAGATAAATGCATATATGTACGCATGTGTATATACATGTGTGTATACATATATATATATATATATATATATACATATGTGTGTACGTATGTATGTATGTATGTATGTATGTATGTATGTATGTATGTATGTATGTATGTATGTGTATAAACAAATACATATTCAAGTCGAAACATATATATATATATATACATGTTGTATACACATACATACATATATTCTTTGTAACAGGAAGCAAGTCTTGCACTCTCTAATCCTAAACGGACCTTTCTTGTCTCTAGACCTCTTGCGGAGTAGCGGACTGCCCGGAGGCTCGAGGTACGCAGCCCGGCAAGTGAAGCTTGCAAGTTAACAATATACGATCGAAACCTGAACCGCAAGCTTTCGATACTTACTTAGGCCAGTTGTTCGAAAATCTAGGCTTTTATATTAAACAAAACGCCAAACCTATGTAAAGCCTAACCCTACAGTCTTCACCCCTAAGACCTGTTTACCACGCGGCCGTTTTTTCATTCCAGGTGTCTCCTTACGGGGTGCCGGTGCCTAATAGTCGTATACTCAGTATCCTAGGCCAAGCTACCCAAAAAAGTTGGTCCTGCAAGGACCCTTAGATGTTGGGAGTCGCTGGATTTTGACTCTTCTTAGATCTATCGAACAAAGCTTTCAAAGTGACATTCGCTGTCCGTTCCTGTCGAGCCTGCTCGAAATAAACGACCTGTACTGGTACAGGCTATAAGCAGTAGTGCTGAGTTTTATGTTACTTGCATTCGTTTATTTCTAAAAACGAGTTGATTCACAGTCTTCAGTGGTGCCGGGCTTCTATGGTTCCAGTCTGCCGTTTGCCCTGACAGCGATATCGCCACACAAAGGCGTTCCTTAACGAGGCTGCCGTCTTAAGGGCTCTGTGAACAAGGACCTTACCTTTCCGCCGTCTATATCAGGCTGCTTACTTTACGGCGATTCCCGAACCCTCAGATCTACACTCCTGCTTCTCTGTTGAGACAAGAGAGGCGTGTCACGGGAAAGCAGCCCGAAGAATGCCTGGCACTCCAAGTCTACCGCAGACGACCCTGGGCAGCCATAAGGGTTTCGCGCTCTGGTGCCCAGAGACTCCGAAACTCCTTTTTGTTGAGGCATATGCCTGAAACTATTGGGGGGGATCCTTACAACTTACAAGGACGGGAGGTCTATTCCCTAATGGAGGAGTTGTGGAGCCTTCGGATGGTCAGCATTGGCATCCAGACAACATGTGGGTAGTTGTCAAAATTAGGGTCCCTTTTTTGGTACCCTAAGCATAAGGTCCCGTATGAGATTATGGACCCAAAAAAGGGACCCTAATTTCAACAACCACCCGTGTAGTTTGAGGTTCGATGTATTGTATGGGATACGACCTTGGGGCTGAGGCTTTGGGGCCTATTGTCGATGGTATAAATCCTGCATTACCCATAATAAGGAATATACCATAATTCCCATAGTGTAGGGTCCTTAAGGTCATGCAGGGTTTATATCATCAACCGTAGTAGTAGAGTAGGGAAACCTTTGACCTTTCTTGGGTAGTATAGTCCCTATTACATAATCCCCATATAACCAAAAAAAGTTAACTTTTAGTTTTCTCATCATAAGTTTTCTCATCATACCCGGCATGTAGGGGGGGTCTTCAGTGGACTGGAGACCCCGAGGAATATGTGAAGGACCTCCAACCCTGAAGCCTCAAAGGGGAAAAGGAGGGACCCTTAATGGGGACCCCTACCGCAAGAACGGCTATGTAATGGGTATATAATAGCTATATTAAGGGTATATACCTAGGGGTCCGTATTAAGGGTCCCTCCTTTTAAATTTTACCCTTGGCAAGCCCTAAACAGTAAAAACTTAGTCCGAGTCCTCGGCCCTTGCCTTTGGCCCCTGAAGTCACAGGGTTTAGGTTTTGGGGTTTAGGGTTTACGGGTTTAGGGTTTAGGACTTTAGGGTTTAGGGGTTTAGAGTTTAGCGGATTAGGGTTTAGGGGTTTGGGGTTTAGGGTTTAGTGGTTTAGGGGTTCAGGGGTTTCGTGGTTTAGGGTTTAGGGGTTGGGGGTTTGGGGGTTAGGGAATCTCTCGGACTTCTGCATGTAAGACCTCCCTGACCCTCAGGGTCCATGTGCCCAGATCTTCCAAGATCCCTGAACCAAGGATTTTACTGTAACTTATATCAAAGGGGAAAAGGAGGGACCCTTAATGGGGACCCCTACCCTATAATGGGCTATATAATGGGTTTATCATGGCTATATTAATAGTATATACCTAGGGGTCCTTATTAAGGGTCCCTCCTTTTACCCATGGATTATCGCAGGACCTTCAATGTGGATCTTGGAAGGTCTGGGTACCTTATAGAGCATATACCACTGGCCCTGAAGTACTTGTAAAGGAAGCCCTTCAAGTCCCGATCAAACACTAAACACTAAAGTCCATGGAGTACATGGGCCCTTTGCCAGGCTAACCTAGGACGTCGAAAAGAGACGGATCTACAGCAAGATACATTCCTGAGGGTTCAACGATTGGCGGGGGTGGAGACTCAGGGTTCCTGGCTAACGTCATCCTAAGCATTTAAGGATTCTAAATGATAATCGAAATGATGGTCATGTGCTCGGCAGCGGATAAGCTTTTTTTCATGCAGGATTTTGTGTTATCCGGGTGATAGCCATTGAAAAGCAAGTGATTCGGAAAGTAGTGGCACTATACCATGACTCCACCTGAACCCTAAACCCCACAGTCGCGCCTCCTTCCCGCAGAACCCGTGATGTCAACGGCGCCGACCCGCCACACAGTCGACAAGTGTACTGTGGCGGCCTGACTAGTTACTACATAAAGGTATATCTTTGCGCAAGCTTGGCTCCATTACAAACCAACCCCGGCTTCGGAACCTGGACATATTTAATTTGCAGCAAGTTTCTTGACTGCCTTACCTCGTCTGGATGATTGGTTCAACAGCTGGGATCGCCTGATTGGGCCAAGTGTGTATAGAATAGTAACGAAGTAGTATACTCTTTGCTTCATTGAGGCAAGTATTTCTCGCAAGTCGCCAGTATAGCTTGCCTTTAAACTAAGCTATCTTGAATTGAGCTCCATACCATGGAACCCCACAATGTCAAAGTCCCAGCAAACCCTGTCATACCATAGAACCGCACAATTCCAAAGTCAAACCCTGCATAGCTCTACAGCACCCTCAAGAAACACCACAAAATGCAGAATATTGGCTGTTTTCTGCGGCGTTGATGCCATGTCGAGGGTTTAGGGTTTGAAGGTTTAAGGTCTAAGGTTTAGGGTTTTGGGGCTCTTGGGTTTTACGTGTTAGGGCTTTAGGGTTCTAGGGTTCTAGGGTCCAGGGTTTAATTAGGGTTTTAGGGTGACGCCATGTCGAAGCCCCGTGTGCTGGTCATCGGAAGTCAGTTCTCGGGAACTTTCTGTGCGCGAGAGCTGAAGTCTCAGTGCTCCGTGCCTGGCTTACGAAAGGAGTTCTGAAGGTCTCTAGGGATTATAGGTTTTGTAGGTGTTTAGGGGCTTAGGGACTGGCTTCCGAAAGGAGTTCAAAGGTTTAGGGATTATAGGGTTGAGGGTATTAAGATTCTAAATTTAGGGCTTACGGTTGAGTGCTCTGTGACTGGCTTCCGAAGGGAGTATAAATGTTTACTGTAGGGATTACGGTTTACAGCTTTTTCGGGCTTAGGGTTTAAGGTCTATAGGGCTTACAGATTTTTAGGGCTCAGTGTATACTTTTTTAGGATGTGTTGAAAGGTTTCATTCCCTAGGTCTTGAAAATAAACTGTATGTTACTCGGGCTTCCGGGTTACTGTGATTGTTGTGCGGCGGGTTGGACATAGAGGTCTGGGTATTTGTCTTGTAATGACCCAGTAACGAGTTTCGAAACATGTATACCTAAACCCCCCGAAGTAGGTAAATACTGGCCCAATACCTATAACAGGCTATTACTCTACATACTTAAGGCCTCTTTACATCAGGGCTTGAAGGACTTAGAGTTGCGTGGCTGCGGGCTTGGAACTAGTGCCTTTTACCTTGGGTGGGGCCGCAAAGTATTTATGTACAGGGATGTACACTCCAAGGCACAGAATGCTTGAGGAACCACTAGGTTTTGAGCTGAGGGCTCTCGGACAACACTTCTTTTGTTAGTTTGCTTTGGTTGCTTGCGAACTAAGGTGACTGTGGTGGATGCCAAGGAGCAATCCGGCTGGCAAGTAAGGGGGAGCCATGTTACATTCAACCCCTGCACCCTCCTCGACAATGAAACCATTGAACCCTAAACCCGAAACCAGGTTTGTTCCAGTCTCCTCGGAAAGAGCTAACCGATTGCTTAGGGCAACGTGCAAGACATCGCCATTAAAGGACTAGGGCATAGGGCTCTACCACTGTCTATCTCATTGTCGCTTAAACTTAAAGACCAGCCCAGAGCTCAAACCTCAGCCCCAACGTCCAGATTCGGAAGTGTCCCTGCCGCACAGAACCCTGAGGACTCCTTATATACCCCATGTGACATGCAATTCAGGTATTTCGAATACACCCCGGGTGTACTTCGAGCCTTTGTCGCTGGACCTGCAGATAGAATTTTGCATTGGGAACCCTAAAACCCCTAAGCTTTTGGGGGTCAAGTTCTGGTCCCCAAACCCTAAACCTTGAACTTTCAACCACAAGACGTCTTGCTTGGGATCTTGCTTGAGGCTTTAAAGGTGCAGGGTCCAGGATTCATGTGACCGTCAGGTCTTCAGTGCCCTAAACCCGAAATCAGGGTTTAGGGTTTCGTGGCCTTGAGCTAAGTACAGAAACCGAAACGGGTCTGCTGAGGGCTTAGGGTTTAACTTAGAGACTAGGGGTGAATAGAGTGTAGGATATAGGATAATACCTGCGCCTAGTCCTGACCCCCTTAAACCCTATAAACCCTAAGCCCCAAACCCTAAACCCCCGAACGAAGGTATCTACAAAGAGGCCCCAATCATAGGCTCCTCCTAGTACAGGAGTTCTAGCTGTACCTGCAGGTGGAAAAGAGCCGTTAAAAAACAAAAAACGAAGGTGAACCCTTCGCACTACGATGCGCTGAGCTTCTCGCTCCAACCGGTCCTAGAGCGACGGATGGGTGTGAAATACATCTGGGGCGAGGCCGGGTACGGGTTCAGGGTTTAGGATTTAGGGTTTAGGGTGTAGGATTTAGCGTTTAGGGTTTAGGATTTATGGTTCAGGAATATAGTGTGTAGGGTACCACGCAAGAAAGACCGACTACAAGCACGACTAACACAACTGACTAACACCTGGCTGACTAGCTAGCTAGCTAGCTGGCTAGCTGGCTAGCTAACTATTGCATGATGCAGCATACTTAATAAAAGGGTCGTCCTCAGGATTGCGACACAGGTCGGAATAATTGCTATCTCCAGGGCCTCGCAGTCCCTCCTATAATGTTACTGTAGCTTTGGGTGTTGTTTGGTCGCAGGGTTCACAACAGCATGATTTGTTGGTTGCCTGCGCAACGCATCAAAAGAAACAAAAGAACACGGCACGCAGGTGAAGGAGTTGGATGGCGACCGCAAGGCAGAACCTTGGAGACAGCATAGGAGCTCGAACAATCCCTAATCCCCAAACCCTAAACCCTGACCCTAAACCCTAAACCCTTAGTATTTCTTGAGCAGCCCGAAGGCGTCAGGAGTTTGGCTTGGTGGTTGATGCTACTCTCAGGCACCCCTCGCTAATGTAGGGGCCTTAATAATTACAGTCGGGTTTTGAGATTTATTATACAATAATTAAAATAAAGAACACCCAAAACCCTATTGTAATTATTTTGAGGTCCCTGCACCAGAACGGACCATGCTCGACCCCAAAACCGCATCCTAGCTACTCTGCGTTAGAGTTCCGGGTCTGGACTATGGAGCCATATTTGTTGATGGAGCCAATTTTTGTTGACGTTGCTGCAAGAAGTCTTCTGTGCAAGTGCTCCCTACTTGGAAGGGCAGGGGACTTAGTAAATAGGTTATAAGTAGAGTTATAAGTACCCTAAATAGAGTTACCCCAATTATAACCCTATACTTTTAACCTACTTACTAAGTCCCCTGCCCTTCCAAGTACCCAGCTCCTCAATGCTGGTGTGCCGGTGCCGGAAGCCTGTTTGGAGAGGAGAGAAAACCCTTTACCGTTAAGGGGCCGGATGGGTGCGCGGGCATGAGTATCCTGTCCCTGGGCAGGATCCAGTCGCATGTGTAAGGCTGCCAGCGCTATACTTTGATTTGGCGCGGGTCACAAACGTAACAAAAAGTGTATGCTTTATTTTCACAAACTCCCCCCAAAAAACAAAAACCCTGATGCTTAGGGGCTTATTTGCCGGAGAACTCAAGAACGCTCCCTTCAAGACAAAAGAATATGCTGAGTACACTTTCCATCATACGAGGCAGCAGCTTGCTGATTTAAGGTCTTTCCGTAGTTCAGGGGTATTGCCGTAAACCCCACAACAGCCGATAGATGCCACGTAAACTCTGTAGAAGCCTCAGACCCTAAACTTTTTTAGACAGGGCAGTGGGTTTTGAGACCCTGTACATTCTCGAAACCCCCCTACGAAACACGATATTCCTCAAAGGGGTATTGGGCTCTCTGGGACCTTGCGGAGGTGGCCAACATCAAGCCCCTGGCATCTGACCGCCGGGAGGAGGTGCCATGATTTCGATGTGAGGATGTTAAGGTTGGGGTCCAAGTACCTAATAGTTTAGAAGCCGCCCCCACCCTGTAATAGTGGTATAATGGGAATATACTAGGGCCCTAATATAATCCTATATAATCCTTATAGTCACTGTTACAGGGTGGGGGCAGCTTCTGACTAATAATCATATACTCCCCCAAATATGAACCTACATAACGACTATCCGATAGCCCAAGTACCTTGTTACTGGGTCCTCTGAACCCTTGGGGTTAGGGTTGGGGTCAACCCTGACCCCCACCATCCCTCAAGCCACCCCCAACTAACCCCAAATCTGTTCGGGGTAGGCATTCGGGTTTAGAGGGGGCTGTAGGGGTTGATATGGTTGTGTAGGGGGCTTTACAGGAAGACGAAGACCTCAAAAGGGTCGTATGGAGGTCTGACCAATCCCAAACCCTTAAGGCTTAGACTCGGTCTGACCTCACTGAGGCCGTAAACTTGAAGCTCCACACCCGAAACCCCTTTGTAAAGTCAGCAAACCTTCGCATCTTCATGTTGCAACATACTGACCAACGCAACACAGCTTCAATGGCGCGGGGTAAACCCCTTGCATGCCTTGTGCGATATATTCGCCGTATGAAGGCCTCAAGCCCTTAAGCCGTGGCGTGGCCCCAGATAGGTTGGATTCGACTACTGCATCATCTGCTCTGGTTGCAATTTTGGGCCCTTCAAGACACCATGGCAGCAATCATGTTTGAACCCGAATCCCTAAACTCCAGACCGCAATAATGATCAATAATGTCGATACCTGAACATTATATATACCTATATATGCAATGATGCAATGCTAGACAGGGCCCTCAGGTCTTCACAGTAGCCCTTCTGTGCTTTGATTGACTAAGAGAATGTCGGGGTTCGCTCAAGTCGAATTACCAACGTGGTGTATAGACCCAGGAATTTGGATCCCTCGTATTGCAAGACATTGTAAGTACGCCAAGTTGTCTGACTGAAACCCACCATCCTATCCACAAGCCCTGAACTCTGAAAACCTAAACCCTCCAGGCTCACGCCTCGATGCTAAACGGTGTAGTATAGTGTCCCAAAACCCAATATGTAAACCAACCCTAAACCCTAAACCTTAGAAACCCCGAAACCTAAGGAAGCGGGACGCAAAAAGCATGAGGGTCCTCTCAGGGCTTAGGGATGCGGGGTTTAGGGATTTAGGGTTTAGGGATTTAGGGTTTAGGGATTTGGGGATTTAGAGATTTAGGGTTTAGGGTTTAGGGTTCCAGGGTTTAGGGTACTGGCTTAGGGTTTAGGGCGCCCTATGAAACAGACATGGACAACTCTCGAACAGGTTTCGGTTGAAGGCATCAGGGTTTGTAGCGTGTTCGGGGTGTGGGAAGCAAGTTCCACACTGTGCGCATACCGTGTTTTCTTGTCAATAGCATGGTTTTTCTGTACTGGGCTGGGGGAATGGTTATGGTTACGATCTATATGATACGCATGTTCTCGGTACTAGGCTAGAGCCCATCGGGACCGCGATACTTCAGGCTCATCAAACCGGTTCTAAACATGAGGTCTTTGATTGGAGAACCTGGCCCTGCTTAAGCTTGATGTCTCCAGATTTTGCAGCAAGAGGTTTCGGTGGTTCTTCTGGCTCGCTTAAACCCCAAACCTTGAACGCCACACCCTAACTCCCAAACCCCAAACCTTCCGCCCGAAACCGTAAACTCCAAACCCTAAATCCCAAATCCCAAACCCAAACCCTAAACCCTAAAACATGAACTCCAAACCCAGGCCGATGGGCGAGAGCCTTTGGTTCCCCACTGTACACGAAGAGGCGGTCGAGACCTGCGATCAGGGAATTTCTTAGGAATCGGGGTCGGCTTGTTTAGGATTTGGGTGTAAGGGTCCAGCGGGCTGAAGCGCGTTGCGTTTAGGGTTTAGGGTTCAGTAGTAGAGCAAGTAACTTGAAACTTTTTGGTGTCTTGTAATCTCTCTCAGATCCCAAAGTTAAACCATTTGCAGCTCTAGGGTGCAGAGGTTTCGGGGCTAAGGGCAAAGGATGTCTGGTATTGGAACGTTTAACTGTTGTTGCTGGACAAGTTCTTGCAGAACCATCTATACATTCTTTAGGCCATGAGAAATGCTCCAAGCCCGAAGCCTTTCCTAGAGAATGCAGAGTTGTCTCCATCAGCAGCAGTTTCAGAAATGCTTGGCCGGGTGAACCCCAGCCGAGCCCTCGACTCGCAACCCTACCCGAGCGGGGTGTAGAGCCAAGTTCCCCAATTCCAACTTAGAGGTTCAGAGGTTCATGGGACTTTCTAAGTACGGGTATCAGTAAGGTAACTATAGGCATACCTACTTATAACCCTAAGCAAAGGTGCCTAGAACCCTACTTACTAAGTCACATGATCCTCTAAGAAAGCCCTAAGCCAGCGCGCTTTCGAGCTTGGCCTTCTGTGGAGGCCCAAGCCGTAAGCGACTGGAAACACATTGATGCTCGGCTGATGTCTCTCCCAAAAGTTCTACAGGGCTGCTGGGTTCTTCTAATCTACGCCTCAAGGCTCAGGGTTTAGGATTTAGGGTTCTGGGGTTCCGGGTTCAGGGTTTAGGATTTAGGGTTCTAGGATTCCGGGTTCGGGGTTTAGGATTTAGGGTTCTGGGGTTCCGGGTTCGGGGTTTCGGGTAGTTCACATAGTACGGTGAACGAGGTTGTTTTTTGCGACGGTTTTTCAGAGCCTTCTTGAGCCAACTCAGTACTGTAAGTGCTGTTGCTGTTTGAGGGGCTATGATTCTTTGCCAACCTTTCGAAGAGGGTAAAGGATTTTTGCAGCTGGGTGCTGTCACAAGGAGTATGATTTTGACTGTGTCGGCATGCTGCTGCTAATTAATGAGCATGAACCTTGCAACCACTGTCATCAATGATTTCTAGCTGTCTTCCTTCCAAGCTTGTTGCCTCTACATTCCGAACAAGGTTCGCGACTGTTTCCATAACAACATACATATATAGAATTTTACCCCAGCACTCCATTCTAATTCGGAAAATCTCTACACGACAGGCTTTGGGCTTTAGTGACCCCAGAACCTCAACCCCGAGACCTAAAATTCCACATCCTATAAACTGGCCCTAAACTTACGCTCCTACCAAGCAAAGAGCCCAAACCCTCATAAACCCTACTCCCTACACCCCCGTAATTCAATACATTCGCTGTATGGTCTGTTTATGTTTTACACTTGACTTCAGACTGCCATAACTACACATGTCCTGGACAATAAATTCAATCTAGTCCTTCATGCCCCTGCGGTGAAAGGCTTGGTGTTTTAAAAAGAAATTCAAACGAAGTAAACCTTACAACTATCCCGTTTGACAAAATCACTGCGAAGTTGTGTCTCGACAGACTGACAGGCGAGCCCACAAGTTGCAAGCTGCGAATTTGGTCTGCACCGGCTGAGGAGGCGTCGCGCAAACAGGCCCAACGACGTCCCAGAAAGCCTTTGTAAAGCCGTGGCAGGTATCCTTGCCGAAGAAAACGAGCAAAGGCTCAGAAATTCCATACACAAACGCATGAGGAAAGGCTAGGGTAGACCAGAGCAAGGCAGCAATAAACAGTGCTGAAGTGGTCGCGATAATAAAAAAGCGATTGTTTCCGGAGGGGTACGATGGTGTGCTTATCCGCATATATGTATATTTGTGTATACACTTATACATATGTGTTTATGTCTGTTATGGAAATGTTGCAGTGAGTGTAATTCGGGAGATCTGTTTTTCACTCCGCTGTGTTTCTTTCTGCAGTTTGGCTTGCATCCAAGTGCGTAGTTCTCAATTTCTTACCCAGCAATGGCGCACATGCGGGGGACGGAGCCTGAGAAGTTCACCGCCATGTTCCTATCATTTCCTTATCCCGCAAGTTCAACCACGACAAGTAGGTCGCGGACTTTTTGAGGTTCTCGCCTCGGAAGCTCCTCCGCCAGCCGTTCAAGTCTGCAGCAGCGAGCTCTCCGCAGGCACAAATTCAGCGGGTCGGTGAACGAGAAGTTTCTCGAAACGCTTACAACAAAGCAGCCGCAACCTCGTTCTCTGCGTCCAGTGCTGGAAATGCGGGTTGTGTTCCTGTTGCCAGCCGCAAGAAGTGGCTCCGCGCCAACGACATACAAAAGAGTTGGAGCTTGATCACCGTCCATGATCACCGTCCACACGACTGCCATTCCATAGAATGTCCTTGCATGCTTGCATCAGGTCAGCTGATGGCGCAATAGGACTTCGCCAAGCGTCGCTGGTGGGACATTTCCAAGGCACGGTCTCCCTAAGCCCAAACTAAGTCAATCGTGAAACCAGTGCCTTCATTCTCTGCGGCATGCTCCGCCCGTAGATGAGCCCGGCCCTCCGCCCTTACCGCCGCCGCCGCCGTCCCCTCCAGTGACGGGCTGGGAAGCCGCCATTGCCCACCGAATCCATGGCGAAGCTCCTCCGCGTCGGCGCCTTACATTGATCCTTGCAACGAAATGCAGACCAAGCTCGCCAAGCTTTTTTCTTCTGTTGCCGAAGGCCTGCGCGACGGAAGCGGGAAAGCGCGAGCTTCTTGTGAAAAACGGGTGGGCAGGGCAGGGACAGGATCAGCTTCGGGTCGACGAGTCTTTGTGTTAGTTTCTCAGCCCTTGCACAGGCTACCAAGCCCAGAAGAAGGAGTGCCAGCCTACCTCAGCGACACCATTTGGGCCTGGGAGAGCCATCTTTCCGGAACTGAGCAGGTAAGGCTATACGGCTCTAGGCGAGAGGGCCAGCTGACCGTGTTTACGTGCAGGGCAGGGCAGCGGACCGTGAGGGGGTTTCACAAAGAAACCTAAACCCTCATCCCCGGATCCTAAAACCCCAAGCCCTAAGCCCTCTCAAACCCCCTCGACCCTAAATCCTAAACCCTAAACCTCAAACCCTAAGCTGTTTTAACTGCAACCTTCAACCCTAAGCGTCTGCGAGGACGAGCGGTTCCTGGAAGGACGCCGGCGTCACATTTCCGAAGAGTACGGGAAACTGCAAGGCGAGATGCACCGGTTTATCTTCGGGGTTTAGGTTTAGGGGTCTAGTGGTCTAGGGTTGTGTTTATGCGTTTGGGGTATAGTGTTTAAAGATTCAGAAGATTTTTCAGGGCTCGGCTGAATAAACCTATAATATATATATATATATATATGTACACCTATGCATTTTCCAATTTACAACGTTTTTTGATTGAGTCCTATGATGCATTTCTTCAAGAGTTCCTCATCGTTCATAGGTAGACTGCTTATTGCCCTTTTTGGGCGCCGGGCCGACTACATACACATGTGGTGTTGTTTTCTTCCTTTGCCTCCGGGTATTCACGGAACAACGAAAGGACATTGTTCTTGGCCTGTTCTTTTGTTTGAGACGTGCTACCGCAAAATAACCGGTATAGGTCCACCATATCCCGAAATACACTCAACTCCCACATTGCCCAACTCGTGTGCAGCTGCGCTCTGGCATTTTAGGCCTCAACAGCAAGAAGGCGACCGTGCTCGTCGTCGGTGCAGGCCCCTTTGGAACAAACCATTCTGTTCAGGGTTTCGGGTTTCAACAAAACGAAATGAAGATTTGCCGCAAAGAAGGCTTGTGGTAAAAATATTCAGGGTTTCAGCAAGATAGTTTGGGGTTTAGGATTCAGGGCTTGTGGTAATCGTTCTCAGGGTTTCAGCGAAAAAATCAGCTAGTGCAAGGGCTCTTTTGGAAATACACATGGCGACACGAGAGGGGTCGGATAATTGATCATTTAACAATTTTCACGTTTCATCTTCTGCAGTTGTGCCGTATTATAACCTTCATTACCAAAGCCAGGCTCCGATGGTCAATCAGCGCGTTAACATCAACAGCAGCAGCTGCAGAAGGAGGAGGAGGAGTCGGAGTGGGAGTAGCACTCGCTATCGTCGTGATCATGCGGATCATCGTCTTATATAAACGGTTCTCGTTCATCGCCACCACCTTCGCCATCGTTATCATCATCACAATGTCATAGCAATAATTAGTCGGAACAAAACAATCGCGGTCACCGTGAGTTCTCTGGCAGCATAGCACATATAGCCTTCACTACGGCACGTCCAATTCTATCCGTTTTTTTCCGTAGTCCCGAAACCCCATAAACCCCAGAAGAAACGAAGCCGGAGCAGTCTGATCTGCAGAGATGGAGTCGGCATTACGCGTTCTATAAGCCGCCTAAACCCTAAACCCCCGAAAACCTCACCTTACCTCAAAACCCTAAACCGCTTAAATCGTATCCCGCCGCAAGTTCCTGCGCAAGGTTTTATCGGCGTGGAGTGGGTCACCGAGCTCCAGTATTTCTTCCCAGGCCAAAGTCAAGATCCCCCAACTCTAGCCCAATAAGCCCTTAATTCAGGCATATACCTTGACACAACATCTTACGCTCTTGTTATTGTACGGTATCTTCATCAACTACGGATCATGCCTTCGATCAACGTAGCCCCTTGTACTTTGAGATGTATACGAACTACAGGGGTATTGGGCTCTCCTGGTCCTACCTTGAGCCTTGCTCCATGAGTTTGCCTTCTGAGTTTATGCTTTGGGTTTTGCGGGATAGAGTTCAGGTTTTCGGGTTGTCGGGTTTCTGGCTCAGGGTTTAAGCTTTTAAGGATTGGAGTTTAAGTGTTTTGGTTGGTGTTTTTTGTAGGAAATATCTTTTGAGGTTTGTCGGGGTTTAAGATTTCGGCTTGCTGGCTTTAGGGTCTCATTTCACAGCTTCGGGACTGTACACAGGGCACGTGCAGCGTCGTTCACAGTATCTCAGGCTTAGGAGCAGGATCCTTGTTTGTACATTCTGTATCGAATATAGGAGCCCTAACAATTAGAATGGGGTTTGTGATATAGTATAGTATAAAGAACAATGGTGGCAATCGTTCGGGCTTCTGCTCTTGTTATTGTTGCCCGTCATCGCCATGATGATGGCTATGATGATGATGATGATGATGACGATGATGATGACGGTGATGGTGGCGATGATGGTGATGGTGGTGATGGCCCCATCATCCTCGTCATCATAATCATCAGCATCACCACCATTTTTATCACCTGCATCACCATCACCAGCATCATCATCATCATCATTCTTGTCACTTGCCGAAAGTATGCCACTGCTAGAAGCCGACCCTACAGAACCACAGGCTAGAACTAGTTTTTAGATTCTACTACTAGCTGCTAGAAGGCACCACAAAACCTTGTCAAATTCCGTAAAACCTTATAAAGCCTTGAGAGCTGTCTTGAAAAGCGTCTCCCCCCGGAACTGCTAACCCCAATCCTAAGCCCGAACTCATGAGCAATAAACCCTACCCTGAACCCCCCCCACCTAAACCCTAAACATAAACCTACTTAAACCTTTCCCCGTCAGATCTGCAACTCACGATCATCGACTTTTTGCCGCGCTGCCTTGGGCCTTTGCCTGGTGGCTCGGCGGGATCTAATTTTTCTCTTTAGCCGATTGGGCAAGTTAGGGTTTAGTGGTTTAGGGTATGGTGCTTCACGATTTAGGGTTTAGAGGTTTAGGGTTAGGGTTTAGGGGTTTCTACAGGCCTTTGTTGTACACTGAAGGACTTCATAATGAGATAATGTCCGGGTTTGAATAATTAGCAGTCTCACCGCGTCTATTTGTAGTAGGATGATGTACCCCAAGCCCCGGGCTCAAGTTTCGAATGCCGAGTCCATGCGACGACGAAACTTCCACATTAACGCTTTTTTGGGAGCCCGATACTCTAATGTAGGCTTGATTATCGAGAATGCCCCATTCCCTGTTTGAAAACCTCACAAAACAGGAGATCTTCATGACGAGCCCCGATAAGAGCCGAGAAATTTCTTAAGCGACTCCCGACTAATAAACGTGAGAATCTTTCTACGATTATTCCCGAAAGTTGCTGACATTCCATACACTTGCTGACAGCCTTCGTTTGTGACGTTCCGACGCAAAACCTCTGAGTAAGTCGGGGTTGGAGTCCAACTTTATGGGGTTTACTGTAAAGGGTTTAGGGTTTGGGGTTCATGTGCCGGGCAGAGGGTAATCAATAAACACCAAGACGTTACTCTCATGGTTCGAGGTCTGGGTCCTGTATTTCTCCGCCTGTTCTCAGCTTCCCAGAAACTCACCATCCCTGAATTAAGGAATACTCGCTAAAACGTATTAGGGTTCAGCAGGGATCCTACTATAGCTTATCGTATGTTCCTCAATCAAAGGATATTGGAGTCTCTGGGCTTGCATCTGCAGATGCTGGGAGAGTCAGAGGATCGTTAGCCCAAAGATTCTCGCACTGCCGATGGGACAGGAAGTGCAGATATGGGAGTTTCCGAAAATAGGGGACCAAAAATATGGCACCCTAAAGTGTAGGATCCTTATTATCAGGACCCCCGAATAATGTACCCCTAATTTTCGGAAACTCCCATATC